GTCTCTCTCTCTCTCTCTCTCTCTCTCTCTCTCTCTCTCTCTCTCTCTCTCTCTCTCTCTCTCTCTCTCTCTCTCTCGCACTCCCTGCCCCCCCCTCTCGCTCCGCGCGTGCCTTCAAAAACTTCGTATACTGGGCGATCTACGGTTGGTCATTCTTGGTTGGGATCAGTACTTGTACACATCCCCCAGTCTGTGTGGACTTCGAGACTGCGAGCAACGGCTGGTGAATGGCATGACCAACAAGAAAACTCGGCGAGATATGATCATGGGCGTGGCCAGTGAACTGCCTTCGCCTGCCACGTACAAGCGTTTTTATTTTGGTGTATGTTGGTGCAGGATGAGCTGCGGTTTGTTGCCGAAGCCGTTACATAACTCTTAACACATCACGTTCGTGCTGGTTCTGCACATCCAGCTATTTCCCCTCCACCACACGGTCGTAGCCTTCACCGGATATGCACAAATAGCATTGACCCAATCCCGTCCCCCCCGCCCCCCAACAGATGTTGGTGTCGCGCACCGCCACAGCCCGCAAGACACAGGTCCGAGCCAGGCGGCCACCTGCGGCGCCTCGGGAGGACTCTGCGGAGCCCCCCGAACACGCCGGGGTCACCCCCGGCGACCGCGGGCAGGCAGGATACCCTTCGCTCTCGAAGCGCATGCTCCCGACGGCGATGCCGCCAATCGCAAGAAGCTTGAGGGTGGGTCGAGAAATAGGCAGCAACTGGGCGCCCGGCCTTACCGGGACTCAGGGGTTAGGGCTGGGGGCGCAGGCTCAAGTGCGCTCCCGCGACAGCAACGAAAGTCCAAAGCGGACAAGGGCGGCCGGCAGGCAGGCATGCCTATGTCCCACTTGAAGGCGACATTGCGCGAAGCGAAGCAGTACGGTGACTGGAGGAAGGCGCTAGATGTTCTGGACAGGATGCAGGAGCAGGGGGTGAAGCCAGACTCCCAGAATTACAGCTCAGCCATCGCCGCCTGTGGCAACGCGAGGCAATGGGAAAGGGCGGTTGAGCTGCTGGCATCAATGGCGGCGCGAGGAACCCCGCCTGACGTTCTCACCTACAGCTCGGCAATTGCTGCTTGTGCAAAGGTGAGTCGGTGGAAGGAAGCTGTGGGCTTGCTGAGATCAATGAAAGGGCAAGGAGTAAAACCCAACGTCATCGTCTACAGTGCAGCTATCTCGGCGTGCAGAAAGGGTGGGCAGTGGGAGACTGCCGTGGATCTACTAAAAGAGATGCCGGCGGTGGGCCTGGCCCCAGACGTGATCACCTACAGCACGGTGATCGATGCTTGCGCGAAGAGGGGACAGTGGGAACCGGCGTTCCGCCTGCTAATGGAGATGCCGACGAAGGGGGTGGTCGCCAATATCATCACCTACAGCATCGTGATCGGTGCTTGCGCGAAGTGGGGTCAGTGGGAGGAGGCCGTAGCTTTACTACGGGAAATGCAGGAGAACGGCGTAGCCCCCGACGTCATCACCTATAGTTCAACCATCAGCGCGTGCGCCAAGAAGGGGCAGTGGGAAGAGGCCGTGGGCCTGCTGAGAGAGATGCCGATGGAGGGGGTAACCCCCAATGCTATCAGCTACGGCATTGTGATCTCCGCTTGTGCGAAGAGGGGGCGGTGGAGGGAGGCCATCGACTTACTGCAGGAGATGCAGGCGCATGGAGTGCCCCCAGATGTCATAAACTACAGCGCGGCCATTGACGCTTGCGCACAAGCGAGTCGGTGGGAGCAGGCTTTGTGGCTTCTACGAGAGATGCCGGCGACGGGGCTTACGCCCAACGTCATCAGCTACAACTCTGCCATCGATGCTTGTGCGAAAACTGGTCGATCGAAGATTGCCGTTGAACTGCTGAGGGAGATGCCGGCGCATGGGTTGGCCCCCGATGTGATCACCTATAGCGCGGTCATTGCGTCATGTGCTATGGGGAGGCAGTGGGAGGAGGCTCTGGATCTATTTAGAGAGATGCAGCGGCAGGGAATAACCCCAGACGTTGTCAGCTGCAACACAGCCATCAACGCTTGCGCGCAAGGGGGTTGGTGGGAGGAGGCCTTAGATGTACTTGGAGAGATGCCGACCATGGGGCTTGTCCCCGATGCTATCAGCTACCGGACAGCCATCGATGCGTGCGCGAAAGGGGATCGATGGAAAGAGATTATTGATCTCCTGAGAGAGATGTCGACGGTAGGGCTTACCCCCGATGCTATCAGCTACAGGTTCGCCATGAGTGCATGCTCAGTGGACGGACTTTGGAAGGAAGCCCTCGTTTTGCTGAGAGACATGCTGGCGGTGGGGCTTTCCCCCGATGTCGTCACTTACAACTCGGCCATCAACGCTTGTGCAAAGGGCGGACGATGGAAGGAGGCGACGGTGCTACTGAGACAGATGCCGACATTTGGGCTTGCCCCCGACGTCAACAGCTTCAACGCAGCAATCGACGCTTGCGGAAACGGGGACCAGTGGGGAACGGCAGTTGAAGTGCTCTTTGAAATGCGGGCGCTAGGAGTTTCCCCAAACGAGGCCACGTACCTCACCGCGATGTACGCATGTAAGAGATGCGGCGAGAAAGATGATTGGATGCAGTGAAACCACAAACTGGGAATAGCCGGAGAAACGGCTCGCCTTCGCGGGTTCGTGCGCGGCTGTAGAGCTCGGCGTTTTTTGTTGCTGTCCTGTCTTGAACGCATCATTTGTGTGTTCCCTTGCCTTTCGAAAGAAGACAGGCCCACGCTTGGTTTATGTGTATCAGAAATGCTCTAAGGAGTATAGTAGTCCATAGCCGTTAGTGCACAACAACGCGGATAAAGGGACTGCTGAACCCTTGTCGCGTTAGGGAAGCACAGCAGGAGAAAATATAGAGATTCGCTCCAGTGTACACTAAATATGGTGACTTTCGGCGATCCGTGAGTGGGTTACCGGGGTGAACGAATAATACATGGCCTATCAAGTGCGGGGAGAATCATCGCACCATCCGCTTCTTTTTGTCTCGCGAGGTGCCTGACACGAGAGACGAGCAGATAAACGTGGGCGGAACATTAGGCTCTCCGGCAACATTAGGTTTTGACAGCGGATGCTGGTTTGTCAGCGGCGGGTAGCGACAAAAGGACGTCCCAACGGTAAAGCCTTCGAACAGAGCAAGAAACCGGAAAACAAGGGGGTGCGACTTGGCCGTGGGGTGGACAGTTGGCGACCTCTGTGCATGTCGATATTTTCGGCTCTGTTTGTCGTCTCGACAAGGGGCACAGCCAATACCGTCAGACGCAACAACATGACCACGGGCGAGCGCCATTCCACAGCTGCTAACAATTCTGGTACGGTCTGTTGTTTCCTTCTTTTGACACCCCAAGACTCTACACCTCCCGGTCCACACACACTTTACTACGCGTAGTCTACGCCCTAAACTTTAACTCTTCCACACAGCTAATTAATATGCTTAGCAAGCTTACGGTACAACAAGCTGCCAAAGCGTGTGAGGGGAGAAAACACGGACGCAAGAGCATCATAAATCTACCACAGCGATACAAACCGAGCAACGCACAGCAGTTGCTACCCTGTCTACCTCCTGCGCACGAAAGGATTCTCCACCACCCTCGAGAACTCCGCATTTGCGAGATCCGTTCCTGCTTCCAACTGCCTTATTCCTGTTTCTTCTCTTGGGTAAGGCAAGACTTTCCAAGGGTTCAAACCTTTCAAGGATCTGGCCTCAATTTCTTAAAACCTCAGGTACGGGTGGCGACGTGGTATCTACGGGTACCTTCTTACGCATCCGAGAAACTGCGCAAACCTCCGAGATCGAGCTGTTGTACACTGCAACAATCACGTGTTGTCAAGCTCACCAAAGCGACAGGCATCGGCGCCCACGCAGCCGCCACATCGACGCTGAGATAGAGTTGATCCCGTAGTTGATTGCATTATCCTCATCTTAACCAATACAACAGCACGCTGGTCTGATTTATCGCAGAGGCATTATCCCCCCCAGCTCACCCCCCGCACCGTGCCCGACAGCGTATGAACAAAATCAAGAAGCCGTTGTTTTGCTACCAACAATACAACAAATATAGAAAACGCCTGTACAGCTTGCTTCGTGCATTGCCGGGAGGGAACAAGCAACCCAGAGCTACCCCGCGCTTGCGCTCCCTCTCCGGGTACCGCTAGCCCGCGGCGAAACAACCGTTCTTCTCGAGGTCTGCCCAACAGCCAACTCCCAAGGACTGCAAAGAACGGAATACTTACTACCTCCCCGCTTACCCCTATGGTACAACTCACGATAGCCACCGTGTGTACAGCGGCACACAGCTCCACCCACCTACTTGTGAACACGAAACAACACATGGGTGAACGAGAAGCTCCCCTCCCTCACGATTTCGCTCCTGCGAGACCCTTCCAGCCGCAGTGCTCGCCCTGCGAGTCCCTCCCCACTCGAACGGAATCCATGCATCGAAGCACGCAATGGTTGAAGATAGTGCATCGAAAACTGAGCAGCGGCGGTCGCAGCAACAGCTCCGCGTGAGAAAAACCCCCGCCCCCAAAGCGAGTGAAACAATACCGACATTCCACGCCTGTGCCCTCCCGACGAAATACTCCATGCCCCCGCCCACACGTATGTATCCTCGCTCCGTTTCAGTGTGCTCGGTGGCTGACGAAACATGTAAATCTGGAGGAGAGCACTCTAAAAGCGATAGAATGATAAAACTCTATCTTAGGGTTTTGGAAGGACAGAATCCCCGAGCCATCATGAATGGGAAGAGAAGACTAAGATTGAATCCAATACTGGACTCACGCCATCGAAAAAGCTAGGGAGGTGAAGATACCAACGTACGTCCGCATGACGTAAGATATCACAGTCCTCTCCAAGGCAACATCGGGCTTGGTTGCCAGCGCAAGACCGGGTGATCATACATCAATGGGGAACTGTTTCTCGACAGGACACTTTCGAGCAGCATCAGATGCTCCTTTTCGACAAAAAAACGCCTGTCCTGGTGTGAAACATCAAGCTCGCAAAACAACAACAGGCGATGAGGTAGGTCATTTGAGCATCGCCGCGATTCCCGCCTTAGGGTCGTTGACGTTAGGGTAGCTCTTGAGGGACACCTGCCGGAACACTTGCGCCAGCCTCTCTTTCGTCTCCTGGGCCTGTGCGGGGACCGAACAAAAGAGGGTGAAAGATCGCGAAAACTAGAAAATCGTATTCTTCGTGTGTAGGAGGCATCTGGTCGTGGTGCATCATCCGGCTTGCGTTTCGTCTGCTGGGCCAGCGTGCCACTATTTAGGTGCAGTTTGAAACAACACCACCGTAACTGCCAAAAATAACATAACAGCAATAAACACAATAACAACAACAACAACTCACGTCGGCGACGCCGGAGCCCATCTCCTGCAGACAGCGCCCGATGGCCGTGGCGTTGAGGATCATGTGGTTCGTCGACGCCACAATTTCGTCGCACACCTGCAAAAACGAAGGCAGAGGCACTTTCGTTTGGGGGAGACAAAAACAAAAACAGCTAATCTAACCCGTTCGACAAGCAAAACGAAAAGAAAGTCGAACAGAATCAGGGATGGATGGTCATGTCGCATGGTCAAATACATACACGGTGCTGTGTGCGTACCTTCCAAGGGTCCAGCACACAACCACACGTGTGCAAGTATGTAAAAAAAAAACGAAAAAAAAAAAAAAAACACGACACGACACGACACGACGTAAAGTTGCTTGATTCGTCGTTTATGAGGCAGCCAACGCTGTCCGGAATCAATGTTTCTCACGAACGAATATATTATCAATACACGTCGAGTGAGCGTTGTGCGCGGTTTCAAATACGGGGTGAACGATCGCCTACGCAAACACCAACGAACGGCCGTGGAGCAGCTGGAACTCGGCCAGACCCACGAGCGAGGGATACGGCAAAAGGCGGCAAAACATGCAAACGAAAACGAAAAATGGCGGTGGCACACGGCACACGATACGGGAGAACAGAAGTCCACCTTCTTCCAACACTAGAGAAACACGAAATAAAGAAATCTACGGAAGGAAAGCAGCGCACCCGCTTGCACGTATCGGTCCCGTCCAGGGACGGGTTAGCTGCCGCGCTTTCTTCCTCGTCCTGATCCAGCGGCTCCAGGAGTGCACGCACTTCTTTGTTGCCTGTTAACGAGGGCACGTGGCCGTGCGCTTGTTTCTCGTTGTGGGCCTGTACCTTTGCCTGCTCAGATCGAAACGGAACAAAAAAAAAAACACGGTCAACTGCGGTTGTCGTAGCATGCAGCGGGGAACTACCATTAATAACGGGGAAAAACGAGATCACCGACAATGTTTGATATCCATCAAGTTGTTGTTGTAGCATGCAGCGGGGAATTGCCTGCTCAAATCAAAACAGGAGAAACACTATCACCATCACTTTTCCATCAACTTGTTGTCGCACATGGCGTGCAGCCGGGAATGTGACGATACGCGGGCTAGTACACGGTATGGGGGGAAAAATCCGTACAGGACCACCACACGGCCCAGATCACCTGCGATCGTTTGGTGCTCTCCGCCAGCGCCAGGCACTTCTGCTCCTCTATAGCCCACAGCTTCTCTTCCTCGGCCTGAACAAAACGAAAAGAGATCCGGTGACAACGACATGGCAATCGACGACCGGCCAAGTACGCGGTAAATATACTTGGAAGTGTGTTGTATCCACGCGCGAGACTTTTAGATGCCCGAGGCCAGACTTACACAGACAAGAGCCGGAGAGAGAGAGAGAGAGAGAGAGAGAGAGAGAGAGAGAGACACACACACACACACACAGAGAGATAGAGGTGCATGCCGGCTTATTCTCTGGTGTACGTACCTCCCCCAGGGATGACGGGGCGTACCCCATGTCGTTCTGTTGCCTGGTGCTTGTAGTTATTTTTCGTAATACGCGTTTCCCGTGTGTTCATGAGGTCCAGTGGATCGAAGTTCCTCCAAAAACGTTTGTGACAAATTTTCTACTTTCTGCACTATTTCCCCATGTTTTGCACTCCGTACACAAGATTCCCGACGTGTTCAAGCATTTCCACTAACTGAGGTTTTACAACAAACCCGACCAAATTCAAGTCCCCAGAAACAGCGCGATTCCAGTTTTGACAATGGGGTGGAACTCGGACCAGTTAGAACGGTCGATGCAAAGACTGCCGATGCAAAGTATATCGATCGTCCGGAGTATTCCCGAAGATTGTTCCATCCCTAATCACATTGTTGATCTCGACACATGCGTGAAAATCCCATTCATCGGTACAGTGTGCTCTAACCCCCAAAAATGGACTGTGTGAACGTGTGTTTCGTTCTGTTCAATGGCATCGACCGAAGAGGCCAAGCGCCCGATCAACGAAAAAGACGTGCAAAGCGGGACGAGAACGCATAAAGCGCCTCCCAAAACAGACGGTGTGCGTCCGTGCGCCACGGACACTCTGGGCACGGTACAACCACGGGCGATGAAAAGACAAAAAAGCCACGACAGAGGGCCACTCACGATTTGGGCATGGTAGCGCCGGCTCTCCTCAGCAAGAGCTTTTCGGACTTCCTGCGGCCGAGGGTTACATTTTCGGCGCGTGGGAGGCGGGGGAATGTGCGGAACAACGTGGATACTCCATGTGCGGCGGGATCGCAAAATGTGTGGAGCGGCATCATCATAAGCATGGCCAACCGCGGGCAGTACGACGAAATCCACGCACGGCTAAATTTCTTCCAGGTCTCCGGTAAATCACCGGACGTGCCGTCAACGAAGAGACAGCCGTATCCCGCATACGGTGGCATGTACTAGTGCCATGGCTACACACGCTTGCGTAGGAATGTACCGCGGAAAGCCGGTTTCAACAAAAATAAGAACAACAATGCAAGCCTGTCTGCTTCCCACATTCAAGTCGACGCTTGCCTAAGACAGTTGGTTGACGCAAAAATACGCCGGACATACTCCATCATAACCGCATTCTCTCTAACTGCTGCTAGCGGCACAACGCATTTGCGTTCCACCTTTGATCAAGGAGTTCGTATGTCTCTTGCAGACCGTTCCGGGTATTTGGTGCAGACAACGAGTAAAGGTGAGAACGGCATTTAGCGCCAAGAAACCCCCTTCCTCCTCCTCCACCACCACCACCATAACCACGAGCAACAACCACAACTTCAAAAACAAAAAAAAACACATCATCAACAACACGCCAGTCACTCCTTCTCCACCTTCAAGTCAACTTTCGGTCGGGGGTCCAGGTCGGCACAGATTTCCTTGGCGTGCTTGAGGACCTGCATTCCGGAATCCTTGCACGCCTGCACAGCGGCCTTGCAATCGGGTTCCTTCCCGCGCTTCCTGGGAGCAGGAAAAGACACGTACGAAGGAGAAATTAAAAAAAAAAGGATGGAAGCAGGACTACACAAAACGGAGTCCACGGGTGGCTGGCCGCACGCACACGCACCACACCAAAAGTTGCGATTGCGATGGCGCGGGCGGAAGTAAGAGTTCGTACGATCGAAGTACTCTTACCGTGGACCGCAAAGCTCGAGGGTCAACACTACTTAACAATACCCACCGGATGAGGCCCTTGATCTCCGCCGCCACGGCAATCTTGAGGGCGTCGCTCATGTTCCGCGGCTTCGCGTGACCGGCAGTCTCCAACAACACTTGCGGGTACCGGGGCACCTGCGACCCGCCCCACACGGCACACATGCAAGCAACCACCGGTCGGTGACGGTGAACAACATACTGGTACAAGTCTTGGTGCTGTAGATGATACTTTTGCTTTCAAGTGGCAGCACAGCAGCAGTCCAGCGAGTGCCAAAAACGTCCCGATGGACGGCTGGATTGAAGAGGGCGCCGGACAAGGGTGTCCGTGTGTGCGCCGGCGGTTTTCGGAGCAAGCGGACAAGTCTGTTCTTTTTCACGTGTGCGGCCCCATGCAATCGCGATCGCTATTTTCAAGCACAACTCCAGGTTCGAAGAGGCGCGCTCGCTTTGGGCTTTGTCGCAGTCAGCTCTCTACTGCTGCTACTGCTGCAACACTCCTGCAAACATGGGGTGAAACCCACATTCATGTCCGACTTTCCACTCGCGTAATTTTAATTTTTACCTGTAGCGGTGCTCCTGCAATGTGATTTGTTTGTGACCTAACTTCTGCGTCAGGCAGGAGGCGACCTATATGGGGGGGTTGCGTTTCCCGCCCCTGGTTTTGCCGGTCTGAACTACGTAGCTGTTCCCGGAAGTTCCATGTGTTCACGAGTGGTGGGGTTTCCCCTAGGTTTTATTTCCATCCGTTCTTTTGACCCCTTGAAATTCTTGCCAATGTCTTTGAGGAGCGCCGTAGGGAAGAGGAGATGTTGGATAAAGGTCAATACTATATCTTTGTGAAACACAAAACAACAATGACTCGCAGGAACCATGAAACAAGTACAGCTGTATGCACATGTCCTTCGCGTTGAGGTCTGAAGAGGAAAGGACGGGGGAAAGTGGAGTAAAACATATCGTACCGTAAATCGAAGAACCTACCCACCTTACGAGCCGACTTTGCTGTAGACGATCTTTGCGGTTTTTTGCCAACCTCTGGTCGTGATCTTGGCCCCGCTTGCTGCTCCTTTGAGGACAGCGCGGCCCGTGGGTCTACCACCGCTGCCGACGCCTCGTCTGCGTCTTCTCCTTCGGCGACGGCCGGCTGTTGCGCCGGGACGTCGGCGCCACCTTCCACAGTCGCCGCCGATACCGCCGCGGCGTTTCCGTTGCTGCTGTTGTTGCTGATACCGCTTTTGCTTTCGCCTCCTGCTGCTACTGGTAATGCTGCTGCTGTTGCAGCTGCAGCGGCGGCGGCTGCTGCTGCTGCTGCTGCTGCTTCCTGCTTTCGCCTCTTGCGGCGCCTTGCTCCCCCTGACTCGTACTCTTCTTCTCTGCGCGATGGCCGCCAAAACCAAACGAAAGGGTACACCAGCGCAGACAAACCGCGGCGATATGTAGGCAAAGTGTGCGAGCGTTAGAGGCCGTAGGTTCTTCCGCGCCGAGGGCACGTTGACGTTGACGCAACCGAGTATTACCGTGGGGTGTACTACATACTTCAAACGATATCTCCGGCGAAAAGACGCCGCCGTCTGATCCAGCGGGGGTATGTACACACGCTATTATCTGGAGTTGGCTGCCACTTGCAAGCACTACTGCTGTTACGGTAGCCCGCCTGATGCAGTTTGGGGAGCTCTGCCCATCCTAGGAGGGAACGAAGTGCGAACGAAAAAGGGTTAATGGAACGGGCTGCTGCTGTCTGTTGCCTGGCAAGTGTGGAGCGCAGCAACCGGGTAAGATTCGCTGCCTGTAGACAAACTAATATCGTAATGAGCTTCCGTAGCGGCACCGTTGTTCGGCGTCTCTTGTACACACAACGATCATTCCCTTGTTCAGTTTTTGGCATTGCCGCAGTGCGACAATTGTACACCGACACCTGTTAGGATCATTGTACGAACTGCTGCATCCTTAAGCGTGGCACACTACTGCAGAGACATGCTTCGACTGAAACGCAAGCGGGTTGCGCTAGCACCGGCCGGCCTACTTTTCACCATGCCGCCCAGAGACCTCTGCTGCAACAACCTCCCAATCACCAAGTTTTCAGTTTGAAGGTGAGGTATCACAGCAGTATTTTTGAACATGTCGTTAATTGCCACGGGCATCGTACAAGCGGAAGGCAGTTTTGTGCTCATGCAATTTCGATTTGCCGTTACGCGCAGGATGCTCCTAACTCTCGTGTTGGCTTCGTAACGGTCGACTGCGGCCGCCGGAAGCGTTTCGCGTATTGGAGACCATGGGACCTCGCTCTGCTACTTCTCCGAATCCAACCCTCTCCTGACTCACGTGTCGGTTCCTTCCGCCGCTGCCCCCTGCCGCTCCGCCGCCCTCTTCTTCCCCTTGCCGCCCTGTTGTGGCCGCCTTTGCTGCTGCTGCTGCTGCGTGTCCTTATCCGTAGCACTCCCCCCGCTTGACTCAACTTCCGCTCTCGACACCGACCGCTTGGTCACCACCGGCGTGACCGTCGCGAGATTAGAAACGTCGTCGTAGCTGAACGTATCCACACCTTCGCCTCCACTGCTGGCACCCGTCGCGTCGTCCTCACCACCTCCGCCAAGCCCGGCGGTCCCTGCTGCTGCCGGTGTGCCCGGATCGAGGGCGGCTTCAAACTGGACCCCTTTCCCCGCCCCGCCTGGCGTCCCCACCTTCTGCTTCTTTTGGGGCGGGGGAGCCCTGCTGCTGCTGCTGGTGGTTCTCCCCCTGTTCTTGCCCTTGGTCCTGCTGCTGTAGCCGCCTCGCTGAGGGGTACTCATGATGATGATGAATCAGGAGGGCCGTGATTACCAGAGCAAGAGGCAACGGCGGTTGTTCAAATGTATCTACCTGCTGCCTGATCTCTGCCGTCTGTTCCGTATCGGTTAGTGTTTTTTTTCCCGCACCGAACTAATTGCCGAGCTTCTTGCTGCGACAAACAGCCAGAATGAATGACCTGGAGAGCGTTCGCTTGGAAGAGAGAAAAGCGGGCGTGCGCGTGACCAGCGAGCTACACACGCCCACAGACAGCGACAGCTCGCGGGTGTGCTCCGGGGGCTTCGCGCACCGCATATGTAAAATCAACATACCCCGCACATTTCGCTTGTTGTGCCCCCGCAAAATGTCCAACGGCTTTTTTGCGCGACCGAGACAAAGAGAGCGACGGGAACGAACGCCACAGCAGGACAATAACCGCCGAAAAAAGAAAGGGAGCTTAGGAGAGAAGGCTACCACCGAGTACATCAGCAGGACAATCATGGTGGGTTTTTTTTTATTCGTATTTCATTTGCTGCTCACGAGGAACATGTGCTGTTGTGCTCGCTCTTGTCTTGGTACAGCAGCATGGCTGGGAGGTACATAGCCTACCGCATGTTGGCCACCTAGCAGCCGCTGTTCATCGGCTACTGCTTGCGCTCGTTCCTGCTGAGACACAGGCTCGAGCACTCTCCTCTTCGCCTTCCTGACAGTACTCGACATTCATGTGCACGCGTGAGAGAGGGAGCACGTGCTCCGTGCATAACCAGAGTGCTTGCTCGGCAAGCGGCGTGATTACCTTCTTTCGTGTACCAGAGAGAGCGAGAGATAGAGGACAGAGTATTCAGGAGACCGTGCCCGCACGATCAGCACGCCCGTGCAGCTACTCTTGTCATTGTCGTGTGGTGCAAGCCGGAGAGGCGTTTCGTGCGGCGCACGTGTATATATACTACGCTACATGGGGATCAGCGCTTTCCGCGCCAAAACGACACGTTCGCGCAAAAATGAAAATGCGGGAGGTGGGGGGTGGGGGGTGGTATGTGGCCCTCCGGGGGTGAAGCGCAGCAGCGGTGACAACACTTTCTCGCATTTGGAAACACAGAGTTGCGCGTATATCGAGATACGGTGGGACACACCCACTCTGCTGAAGTACTATTTAGAGCAAAAACAAAACAAGAAGTAACTCCGTTCCTGTAGTAAATACTAAGTTTGTAGTCGATGGAGGTGCACGACGGAGGTGTCGCCTTCGCCAATGAAGTTGTCACGCCTTTCCAAAATATTTTGCACGAAGTACAAAGTAGCCAGCCGCGGTGCCGTGTCACCCTTGCCCCACACGGAACAACAGAGCCACAACGCGTGCACGGTCTAATTTCGCGTTGTTCGACTCGGCTGCATTTGCCCTCCCAGCACACTCGAAAAACAATCAGCGCTCACTTCACGACTATTATTATCGTCTACACACGAGACTGCTGTACGCCCCCACCTCCACCACTGCTGCAGTCTAAACACGAGATTCACGTACGTCACCACCGCTATTTTTTGTTGTTGCTGCTGTGGACATCGCACCAGGCTTCCGTAGCACAGACCTCTAGCACGGAGAACGTGATCACGCTGCGAGGGTCGACGGATGTCGTCACCGACTTCTTCTACTACGCCGTCAACAGGTGGGTCAGGCAGGAGGCGCGTAAAGCAGCGAAGGCCAACACGCAAGCTTGAGTGCCGGGCTAGGTGGATACAACTGCCGTGTACGATGGTCTGCTTTCGGAGCTGTCGACCCCATGTGCTATTCGGGTGGCGCAGGCACTGAACCTGCTGGTGCTTTCTTTTGCTGCTGCTGTTGGGCCTGTGCCTCATTTTTTCAACACACGACCGAGCGGTCGGTGGGATTCATCTCCCAATGACGGCAGCGTTTCGCCTCATTCTCACTCGTCTTGAGTTATTGTGAGCCGATACCAACACACCTATATGTCCGTCCCAGTCCGTGCATACGACCAACTTCCATCGCGTTTTGCAGCTTCGGGCTTGGTATCTCTTACCCGTTTGCTAAATTACGTGTTATACATCCAACAATGGAAAAAAAAATGTCAGGTTACGAGTCGAGGCGCGCGTTCACTCCCGAGATGAAAAATTATGAGCAGTCGCGTTGCCGAACCCTTGCCTCATACTCTGATTTGGCCAAAAGAGGGGGAACTTGGATAGAAAGAACAGTCGTGTTTGTGTTTTTTTTATGAAACTTCTTACATGCGAAACGAGGGAATCTTCGATTTTTCTCGACAGACAGACGATTGGGGATTGTACTATTATATGATAGGGATCTCCACATTTATCTAATTTGTTGTGCTTCTGCGACCACCCCCACCCCCCCCGCTCGCGGACCGCAGCGTGCTTTACCAGAGAGGGGTTTACCACCCCGACGGTTTCGCTCGCGAGGCCAAGTACGGCATCACGACCCTCGTCACGACCGATGAAGCCCTGAAGAAGTATCTCGACAACGTCATCAAGCAGCTCAAGGGTAAGCAAAGGACCTCGACAATAGTCACCAAGCAGCTCTTCGGCAAGCAAGAATTTTCTCGATAACGTCGCTAAGCATCTCAAGGGCGAGAACGCTAAGCGGGAAGCTTCATGAGGAACTAGACGTGGAGATGGGAAGAAGCTGAACGCCCTTCTTTCTCCGTACAGATCGCACGAAAATGCTACCGTACCAAGGAGAAACCTGTACGAAAAGGAGGAAGAAAAAAAACTCATCAGACGGTCAGATACTCCAAACGAAAGACGCGCCAAGATATTGGTGGGAACACTCACGATCGGCGGGGCCCCCGAAACCACTCTTAGACGACAATCATAACATAGAGACCACCAAGCAATTGGACGGTATACGCGAACGCCTGCGCAGGAAGAAACAAGAAGAACTAGCGGGCTTTCTCTGCACGAAAGCGCGCAAGAAGGGTTGTCGGACAAGACCGAGCGTTGCATATATCAACCTCTCCAAACCCGGCAACAAGACCTATTTCGAACCCCCCTCCTCCGGAGAATGTTGTTCCGTGCAGATTTGTCCATCCCGTCACGTTGTCGCTCACGACGTCCTTCCTGCACGAAATATCAGATGCATGACGATGAAATAATAAAAAAAACAGTAAATCACTAACAATGCCGTGCTGTGCGCGTTGTTGTCGCGGCAGAATGGTTGTTGGAGAAAGAGCTGCAGCGCCTGGTGCTCGTGATAGTCGGCACGGACTCGGGCGACACGCTTGAGCGGTGGACGTTCAACGTGCACAAGGAAGAGAGGCCCGTCCTCAAAGACGGCAGGTAAAGAAAATGTGCCGTTCCGCCTATGTTTTGTCCTGCTGTTTTCTCAAAACCTTCCAAGTGGTGCCACGAAATAACGTTTTTTTCGTGGTGTTTTCGTGACCTTTCACGTTCTTTTTCGTGGTCGCTCATGTTTTTTTCGTGTTTGGTGCGAAGGCCGTGTGCTTGCAATTTCTGGAGGCATACCTACCCGATCGCCCTGGTGCCGTAGTTGGTAACCTCGTATGCATGCGTCATGTATGACTGCTATAGGGGTCGAACCCATCCGGAGTGATGATACCCGTAGTCTGGTAGCGGAAAACGCGCAGCAGCTACGAGTATGCACATGAAGGAGGGTAGAGATCGCTGGTCCGAATGCGGAGGAAAAAGTGTCGTGTGCTTACCTTTCTCCTTGGTGACCCCGACTGGTGGGTTAAATTAAATGTACACCGAAGCGGGTAGAGACTGGTGCCCAGGCTAGAAGCGACGAAGAAAAAGAGGTACGAAATACATGGCAGCTCTGATATCTCCAATCCAAAAGGACCAAACGTTGGTTGTGTTGTTGCATGCACACGATGACCACCAACTTAACGACAACAACAATGTCGATGGCGATTGCTACAATCGCAGCAACGCCGGCGACCAGCAGCCGCGCAAGTCGCAGAAGGCCATCACGCAAGAGATCCAGAACGTTATCCGGCAGATCACGAGCAGCGTCACATTCCTGCCTCTCTTGGACGAGCCCTGCTCCTTCGACCTCTTGGTCTACACCGGCAACGACGTGAGAGAGGGGGGGGGGAGTGCGAGAGCGAGAGAGAAGAGGGAAAGAGAGAGAGAGAAAGAGAGAGATAGAGAGAGGGGAAGAGAAAGAGAGGGAGCAAGAGAGACAGAGAGAGGGAGAGAGAAAAAGAGAGAGGTATATCAAATCAGCCATGGTCCTATTTACTGGCTAGGGGTTTTGCTCCGTGCCGGCTGTAAAATAGGAGTTCGTGTATGCAACGTCGCAGAAATGAAGCCGTGCTCTGTTTCGGGCGTATGTGTGCGCGCCCGTCGTTTCTTTGTTCTGGAAGGTAGTTTTGACGTGATGTTTTTGCGACCCCGACCTGTATCATACCGTTTTCATTCGTTCTGGACATCATGTTCCACCATTCGGTGTGTTCTCTGGACGAAGCAGGCGGGGGGGTCACATGAGGTGGCAGGCATGGGTTGTGTTGAATGCCTGTTCAATGGAACACCTGGCCGACTGACGCGTGATTTCCATGAATACTCCGTGCTTGCTCACCTCGGGTATGTACAAACCAATCCCATCATTCCTTGCACCTACCCTTTTCTGTCTTTCTCGTGGATTGTTATGTGGTACAGGCTACCGTACCTTCCGGGTGGGACGATTCTGACCCTCGATGCATCAAAGACTCGTCTGAGGTTTCCCTGCGCTCCTTCTCCACTAAGGTAAAACAGAAAAAACGTCATCCCCTCCATCCTCTCCATTACAGTAGATTCCCCTTGTTACGTAACAGGAAAAATAGATACACCCAGAAAGACTGTATCTTTGCGTGTTTTGTTTCTTCATGTCTGAACAGTCGATGTGAGGAATGCTCTCGCTAATCACCACCGTCCACCAACCTTGAAGTGGTGCTTTTGATGGTTCTCGAGAGGAGGTACCGCCTGACTGATGCCGTTTTGTTTGTTGGGATAGCCGTTTGCAGTTTTCGATGGAGCTGATATCAGGGCTGCATCTGCGAGAGTAAGTCAGCATACGAGAGCGAGAGATCTTGTGAAAGGGAAACTGTCGGTTTGGAAAGCGAAGGCTGCAGGGCGAACGGATATTTATGACGACGTGGCAAGCAGATGGAATGGCTGTTGTACGAACTGACGCACATGAGCGAGTAAACGCTACGCTGCCGCCATGCGCACAGGTAGTCGCGGAGGACAAGGCTTACACCACCACCCCAATCGCGTACCCGCCCTCCTTTCCCCTTGGTTCTCTCGGCAGATCCACAAGGTGGACACGGTCGTCTCCTACAAGAACAAGACCGACGAGGAGCTGTGCTGACGGTTTCGCTTCTAGGATACGAGTGACTCGTGATATTTATCTGTTTTTTATCGTCAAGATGCGATCTGCAGTTATTCGAGGGAAACAGATAAAAACACGGGTGTCTTTTGTGTTCAACATAAGCCGTGGCGGTACAAAGCGAACCTAAAATTGGCTTTCTTGGGATGATGAGTCTCAACCACCCAGGAATTGGCGACTTGGAGGCCTTGCTGACGTGAAATGGTTCGAAATTTTGTCCTGGTGGGTGAAACGGGGGGGGGCGATTTCGAATAATAGGAGCGTCAAGTTTTTCTTTTTCAGGTATCGTGGAGGGAGGAGGAGGGAGTTGGGTATGTTCTTCCGGTGGTCAATAGTCTGGTGCATGTTTCGAGATGTATTTCTATTTTTCGTTATCCGTTATCTTCGCTTGTGTTGAGAGAGTCAAGTCGATCCACCACCTAGCGAAAACTAATTTTCTGTATGTTTTTTTACGTTTCAGGTTGTAGTGTTTGGGTTGAGGGAGTCAAGTCGGCCCACAATCCGCAGGGGATATCTAATTTTTCTACGAGTTTATCGTAGGGTGTAGACTATTGTGGATATACCCTTTTGCGTCATATACCTTCTGTAGTTTGTCTGGTAGTTGTCAAATTGTTTCTTTCTACGCATTAGATGTACGTGTCGCGGGTTTCGGACAGGGAACTAAGTATAAATGCCCGGCCGGGTGCTTGGTGTAGTCAACCTTTCGGCAATCGTATTGACGTACGTACCGATCTAAGCCAGGATAGACCTCCTCTGCCGTATCTAGTGGTGATTTTGCGACGACGTGACGGTGTCAGCTGTACGTCAGGACGCTTGATTGGTCAATAACCGGATGCTATTTACTACTTCAGATGTATGAAGTACTGTAGTTCAGACCGGCTCGCTCTGCGTGAATGCGTTGTGTCTGATACCGCGTTGTAAAATCGCTTGTTTATTGTGTTCAATTAGGTCGGCCAAGGAATGATAGTGGTTGCCCCCAACGAGAGGTAAGTTGCCATCGGATGTTTTCGGATTTTAGGCGGGGTTTTCACTGCCGCAGGAATTGTCCAAGCTACGAAAGGTTACCAATAATAAACTGACTACGAGATTTCATCTTCGCCAAGAACTCAACCATACAGCTGCGATGTCTATTTTTTTTTATGCGATTATTTGAAACGAGCACCCTCCGCCCTTGTCGGTGAACTCTGTGTCATCTAGCCAGTATATCACATCCATCCTTGGAACGCCGACAACGAACGCTCAAACGAGACCACAAGCCAACAACCAATGGGGCGGGAGGGGGGCAGGAGACAGACGAGACGGCGAGGGAAGAAAGCAAACGAGAAGAGACGGACCGAGTGTCGTGATACATGCCGGATTGAATTTCTTTTAGCCAATTCCCCCCCCCCAACGCTGCACCATTGCACCAACCCCCCACTACTGATGACGTACCATTACCATTTATCGCTGGTTGGTGGCCATGTTTGCGTGTTTGCTTGTTCGTTAGTGGTCTCTCCACCGTGTGCCTTTTTCTTATCTCTTATTTCTTGTAAATATTTTCGGCCTGGTCCCTTCTTGTCCTCGCTCTTTTTCGTTTTCTTTTCTCTTTCCTTCCGGTTTTCCTTTCATTGTATTTTTCTTCTCTTTTTCTCTTTTTTCTCTTTGTCGCTCTTTTTTCTCTCTTTTTCTGTGTCAGATGGCCTTGTCTCTGCTTGCGTGTGAAGCACCAAGATTGAACCAAAGGGGTGCACCTCTTTCTCTCTGGCCCGTGATGCTGACTCCTAGTCTCAGTTGTTCTCGCATAGCGCGCAGAGGGAGCGGAGGACTCCAGAATATCTGTCGTTGATTTCTATTGACTTGCGGACCCCTCGGGGCCGGTTTATTATTTGAGTACCTTTTCTAGGGTAAGGTTAGCCTGTGACCACGGGAATCGACCGCGTCAAGTGTTGGATCAGAACGGACATATGAAGGTCTCACATCAGAGAGAAGGAACGAGGTTGACACATAGAACGCTTCCAGTAGTAGTGTGGTTTACCAGCTTTAGGAGCTGCAAATGCAAATGAGTCAAGTATTTTTCCCACCCTCGCACCTTTTTGTTTTCAAAGAAACTGTAGGTATGTTGGTGGTACGAATTTTGGAACTTGGCCGTCTGAGACTACTTCGTGCAGGATGACTATGTAGTTCCCTTGACCGGAGGAAATTTACCCTGTGGTCGATGCCACTCCGTGCATGCCGCTTGGAGGGAAGAGAGAGAGGGTAACACTGGCCGCGAGAGGCTGAGACACGGTATTGTAGAAAAGGCGCGGAGATAAAGGTATCTACGGGGAACAGTGCTCTGCCAAGTTGGCATGTCTCTTTTTGAATGATGAAGACGAGAATACCGAGGAGACCTACATACACCCCCGGAACTGGGTTCGCCGCGTCATCCCGGAGGGAGGTGTATTATGCTTTTATATTCTGCCCCCTAGAAGAAGCGAATACCTCGTGGCGCTTCGCGCTTGATCATGTGAGGGCCTAGTCCGGTGAGAACCGGGCGTGCTCCGTCCCGGCTTTCATTGTAGGGATGCGAGGCCAGCGGCCTAACAACTACGGCATGCACCGCTATGAGTACACCCCCCCCCCTAGAAGAAGTCAGAGAAATAAACGCCCAGGGGCATCCGAGAGCAACATCGAACACAATAGTGTACTCCATCGTGCCTCACGCACGCGTACGTGCTATCATCCTACACCAACAGACACGATCATACCGTCTTGTGTCCCACAGTCTGCAACACACCAAAACCACAAACGCGGCTGAGACTCATGTATGTCTCAAAACTTGATTCATGCCCCCCACCCCCCGAAATTCCTTACCTCGCCCAAGTTGTGCAGTACATGGTGACATGGTCAAAACATGTCGAACCAACGAGGATTTCGCTGGGTTCGTTCCTCTTTCAATTCGTACTGCATACTCTTTGTTAAGCAAGGTAAATTAGTCCATGCCGAAGAAACAGGTTGATTCCAGTTTGTTCTTCCACTTGCTGGCATTGGTTTCTTGTAAAAACCATGACCCACTTCTTCGCTCTGGCCTGTAGACTGGCTGCCCCTGACGCACCTATTCTTACACCCTGGCGAGGCCACAAACAGAACCATCTAATTAGATATATATATACCCCTCTTGTTGCCCCTTATGCTACAGCCTATCAAATCACAGCCAGTCACAGACGGCTGCTGTCCTCTAGTGACAGCACAAGCCCCCGCTCAGTCTGCGAGGTCGAAGAGAAAATTACCACGTGGACCGAGTATCTACTGCACAGCGCCACCGCGTGCTGCAGGTCAAAAGGAATACGTGACTCCCTCCACAACAACACATCGTCAACAGTTTGCTAGTGGGGGGCGCCGATCTGTATCGTCCTCGTGGGTGGGATGATGAGGTCATCGTTAACCGCCGATCCGAGGTACGACCGCAGCATCTCCTTCAGCCTCGTGTTCTCTTGCTGCACGCACGACGCCCGCAAGCAGCAGCGCCGGCGTAACGATGAGAATACGCGAACGACGGCAACAATACGCAGCACGGGCAAAACCGCGAACGGAACAGATTGGAAAGGGGAGAAAAAAAGTCAACAACAATACCCACGAACACTTGTTTGAGAATGACAGAGCGTATATCAGCACGACATTTCTGGGGGGGGGGGAGGCAGAGGGCGCGGCGCGCCATCAAATGTTGATGATTTTATTATTATTTCCCTTGCGCGGATACGCGTCGTCTGTACAAAAGGGACTGGCAACCTGGATATCTACCAGCTCTCCCAACGATTTTCCCCACCCCACGGTGCATTGGTTCAGCCAATAAATCCGTACAAGAGAAATCCACCCACCCTGTTTTTGTGTCTTCGACAAATCTAGTACCACCTCGTATGACTTTCAGAAAATACACTCGAAGGTGTTGGTTTCGATCCAATGACGTGGGCTGTGCTGCATGCATATGGTTGGTGCCACCGTTCAGTTCGTCCAAGTTGGAGGACGGTTCGTGGTTCGTGTCCAAGATCTCCATGTCGTATATCTGTCATCTACTTGGAGGATATGGGTGCACCAACCGAAGTTTGTCGGGAAACAAACGAAAACAAGTGTGACAAGAAAATAAGAAGCGCGATTCATCGTCGATTGAAGAAGTAAGTTCAGTCGTGTAGGGGCCGACCGCGTGGGGCGTACGTTCGATACCCGTCGACGACTCACTCACACCCCTTTCCCCAGTGGTCAAAGTGTAGAGAGGGTAGCAAGTGCTGGCAGACCCGAAAAAACACGCTACTCTTCGCACCACACGAAAATACAGAGATAAAGTTGGTTTTCATCGCCCGCCCTCGAGAGTAAATCCGACCCCCTTTGAGTAAGCCCCACCGGAGCCCAACCCCCCTCCCCCCCCCCCGCCCGCCCGGACAAGCAGGGCCTCCTGTAAGCCGGCAGAAAACAACCTGAGTTCTCCCTGACGGGGGAAGGAGAGGAGGAGCAATTCCGCCGACGACACAAACAAAATAGTCTGGGGGCTCGCACACATTTAGAAACTTCATTTTGAACCGTATGGAATAGTCGTTCACATGCAATGATGGTGATTCAGAGATCTATGAGTGATCGATGGTTTGTGTTGGCCAAAGCCCTTCTTGTTCCCTTTCTTAGGGCCTAGTCAACAGACAGACGCAAGCACGTAGCAAACTTCGTTATTCGGGGCATCCGCGTAGTAGTGGACTTCTGTCGCGCGCTGTCTTCGCCTATCGTGCCGTCTTGCTATTCTCAACTGATGCGCCCCTACTCTTGGTGGGACAATCAAACCACAGTACTTAGGCATACCTGGAGCGACTTGACGTTGGTGATGCGCCGGCTTCGCTCTGCAAGTACCGCGTTGTATCGCTCCAGCCCGTGTGACAGCTGCTTCCAAACCTTAATTTTGTGATGATGCATGTGCGTATAGAGATGAGCCGATCGAGCGATGTTTATGTTGTGCTGGGCGGCCGGACGGGCACAATCGGTTTCATTTTGAAGATACCAAGACAAAAGATAACATGGTCGCCACCCTTCAAAGGCAAGCTCGTCAACGCGGCGCATTCGAGAGACAACAGCGCTCCCTTGTGTAGGTGCCTACAATATCTCCCAGCCTCTTGATGCTCCAGCTATCCCTACACCTCGGCCAGAGCTGGCTTCGTTTGAATGGCTCCCCAACTCAGTGTTAGTATGTGAATGGGCGGGGCCTCCTGCTACGGTTGTTGGCCCCCAAACACCCTTATTTCTCTTAGTTGTGTCCGCAACAAGAAGACGCCAACAGAAACAACGAACACAGCAACAGCAACAGCGTCGTGCTGAATTTATATACCTGCCACGCTTCTTCGCCGATCACCCCCCCGATGGTATTCCAGTAGTCCCTCTCCCTCTGTCGGATGACCTTCTCCCTCTGCCTCCGGACTTTCCCAGCCGCGTCGCCCCCGCCCCCGCCCCCGTCATCTAAGCTTAGACTCTTTGTTCTAGTCTGGATTTGCGCGGTTATACGAAAGGTACAACGGGGCCGGGTAATCATTTTCATGACATCATCAGCATGGCTGATTTCCTCCGATCAACAAAGGAGGGTAGGAATCCGCAGGGAGCGGGGAGGTGAATATACAGTGACGTATGGTACCATAGCTGGTACCATGCGTTTTTCGTGGTGTTACATGTGCGTGCTGCCTCACCTGGTCTAGCAGGCGGGCCTCCTTCCGGTCCTTGACGAAATTGTGGATCGCGCTTACCACGTTGTCGGGCTGGATAATCGTCAGGAGGACCTGATTTCGTTCCGTTCCGTCATGTTTGCCGCCACATAGATAGAAAGGTTAGCCAGCGGTTGTGGTGGACGTTCGTTGCAATTCAGGATGAACAGGAGCGGAAAAAGAAGAAGGTGTTAACGTTAAGACAACAACGACGTCCAAAACAACAAAGGCAAAAACTTCAAACGAAATGACCAACCATCAGCGCTTCCCCTTGTTTGATTTGCATCTGGATTGATAGGGTGAGTAGCCATTTTCAACGCTTCCGTCGTACTTGTACTTGTTTCACTCAGCAGACTCCGTTTCTGTCAATGAGAACCAAAGAGCAGGCCGATTTAGCTCCGGCGAGCGAAACGTCATTCACTGACTCAGCCATCACGCTCGCTCACCGCGGCTCTAGAAACGTAGTCAAGCTCAGGTGGATCGGCAGCACGCCTTGTCTATAGTCTGAAACCAAGGTGTCCAAGAATCGAAGTGTTGAGCGGGAGTGATGATGTTTGCATCTGGACGCTTTGGGGTGCCCCCGTGATGACCCGCACGGCTCATTCTTTCGACGTCGAGTTTTTCTAGAAACCCACATGATGAGCTACTTTCCTCCTCTGCATGGCCGTCCAGGTGACGTTTCGTTCATATCCTCTTGAATCATTTCAAAGAGCTCCTTGTGTTCCATGCTAGACAAAGGTGGCCATCAGACGTTTACAGGCGCGAAGATCAAAACCCCAAGAACGCACGATGTTATCTGTAGAAAACGTCAAAAGCCACAAACACCAACACTGGCGTTGTCTCCATCTGGTGTGAGAACAATAATCGGTCCTGCTCGGTTTCGAAACTACTGGGTGGCCGGGAACGATAAGGTACGGCGAGAAGCGATGCAGATGGAAAAGTTATCCGCAATCCCACCCCTGCCGGTGATAGCCTTTGTCACCTTGAGGGCATCTGGCTCTCTGTCGGGGTCTAGCCCCAGGGCTCTGAACGTGGCCATCGACGGTATGTCCTCAGCGTCTGGCTCCGCCACGTCTGAGCCGAAGAAGTACCGCATCAGTTCCTTCGGGAAAGGGGTTCGTTGGGAGACAAGAGAGGGGGAGGTGGGCGAAGACGCAAGTAGGGCAATTGACCAGACGGTGAGCATAGGTGCCTAGTTAGGACACTAAACGTCTCTGAGAGCAGTCGAGAAGGTGACATATGGCAGATAGCTTTCACAGAATCGAAAGAACGGCGTTCGTCGTCGCTGATTTATAGTCACGATGACGCAATTGTGTTGGCGGTGAATCTTTGAAAAGGCGAACGCGAAGGGGGTGACGGGCGAGCGCCGGTCGTGCAATGTAGAGGTTCACGTCTTCTTCTTCCTTGGAAACATCTATCTATCTGACGGCTGCAAGATCAAGACTGAAACAGGAACCACAACATCAGCATCAACATCAACCTATGGCCCGAGCGTCCCCACCTCGATGTCCGATTGCTCCTCTACCCCGAGAGCCTTGAGCATGCTGACTGCCGACACTAACTGGGCTTCGTCGGTTGTCATGGCATCTAACGCGTCCTGTACAGGAAAGTCGCGCAGGGAAAAGGCCACGATGGGTGGGGGTGGGGGTGGGGGCTCGGGGGCGGGGGCGGGGGAGGGGTGTGTGCTACTCCGAATGGTATGCATGCACAGGAAGCATCATGATTTTTACCCTTTTCGCCACAGCCAAACCAGATTAGGAAAGCGAGCACATCGTACACCACCAATACATTTCCGCTGGTTATAATTGCTGTAGAACTGGAAGCAATGCACGTGTTCTACGCTGCTAGGCCTGATGTTCGTACCACGGCTACCCCAGCTAGACAAATAGTTTCGTCACGCTTGTGGTCCTAATCATGTAAGGGCGGCACGTTCTTCGATCTCGGATGACGCAGTACAGAAAATAAGGAAGATAGACGAATCGAAAATCTGAGTGCCAAACATTTTCACCCAAACTACAAAAAAAACTAAGTCGACAGCAGGGGGGAGAGAAAGAAGTCACCAATGCGTTCCGTCCCTAGCTGCTGCAAGTTCCACAACCGTCGTATCCATGCAAGCGACCGTAACAGAACGAGAAGAACGGCATCATAGTCACACCACCCTTCTCAATCGGCAACAGCGGGGTAATAGCTAGCATGCGGTAGTGTAGATCACAAGTACATCGGACCCCTGACTAGGCAAGGTTCTTGGATTCTGAGGACATCATTAACACCATCCTATTCATCGGGTCGTCTTTTGCGGCCCCCTCATGACCTTCAGAAATACGAAAAATAGAAGATGCTGTACCCGATAAAGATCAGAACGGCTTCGAAAAACGAAGACCACTAATAAAGCCCCCCCCCGTCGTGGCTTCTCCCCCCCCGGTGTTTGCCATCGGGGTTGGGTTTTCGTCGCTTGGCAACGACGTTGTAAAACAAGCCGCCCCCCCCGGGTGTTTGCCATCGGGGTTTGGGTTTTCGTCGCAACGACGTTGTAAAACAAGCCCCCCACTCGGTGTTTGCCATCGGGATTGGGTTTTCGTCCATTGGCAACGACGTTGTAAAACAAGCCAATTCACTTCGTGAACTCGGCAACCAGGTTACCGCTTTTTTTTTTACCTCGGTTTTTTTTTTTGGCGGTAACCATAATGGTGGTCGAGTAGATCATGTTGTGCAGGGTGGAGAAACCTCACTCCGCGCAACGGGGGATGATCGCACCACGTTGTCTTAAAATGGTCAAGCTTCCTCGAGGCAGTTACACAGTGCTTACAACTGTCTCTGGAAGTAAAAGCACCAGAAAATAAATTAAGTCATACGTAGCTGTCATACGTACGCAAGGAAGTAAGCAGAAGATGCCGAACACCCTTTGCAGGATGCAGCTCACCCTTCATGCGACTCGCCAAATACCTCACGGCGCTTCGCGCTTGGTGATGTGAGAGCCTGGTCCAGTGAGAACCCGGCGTGCTCCGTCCCGGCTTTGTAGGGATGCGAGGTCAATGGTCAAACGACTACGGCATGCACGACTATGAGTACACCCCCCCCCCCCCCCCCCCCCCCCGGGGCGCCC